GTGCAAAAAAAAAAAAAAAAAAAAAAAAAAAAAAAAAAAAAAAAACGAATATGAAAAATACATAAGGTATAAAAATAACGTCCGGGTCGCCTACTTTGGAACACATCCACTTCCGTTTAAAGTGACGTGTTTCCCATGTGTTGATAGCGTTTCCTGTTGAACGTTCATTTCAAGTTTATGAGATATTTGGGCTCAGTGTTAGATTATTGATCATTGATCAGTTGATCTGACGTCCATCATGTCGAGTCGCGCTCTGCGTAGGCTGAAGGGCGAGCAGCGCGCTCAGGCCGCTTTAAACACGCTAAAACTCACCGATGAAGATGAAGAGGAGCAGATGAAGAGTGACAAAACTGCCCATAAGCAGAAGAACACCAGCAACATCTTTGAGCTGGTAATGTCTGGCATGTGTGATCAGGGGCGTCGCTGTGTGTGATTGTCAGGGTGCAGATGTTGGATTAGATGTATTACCATGGTACTTTGTTATACCATGGTGATTACCGTAACGTTACATGTGTACCATGATTTACATACTACTTAAAGGTGGTACTACTAGGGTATTAATCCGAAAGTTTTTACTTTCTTTCTTCTTTTATTTGTTTGTTCTCATTATAAGTAGGCCTCAGGGAACAGACTTAAGGGAAAAAAACCCCAAACAAATCAAATGCAGTTCATGACCCCTTTAACGACTGTTACAGTTGTTTTGCAGTTCGTCCTTAACTGTGACAAATGAATTCCAATGTGGTCACAGTTTATATGAGAGTCATATAATGGCATATGTTAAAATTTGACTGCAATCAAACAAATGCTGTTTGAAGTAGTTTCATTTGGAGTATAGCATGTCATACTGCTTTCATATCCGCTGCCCATATGTAGATCATTGAGTGTTGATAAATGCAGTTTTAATGCAATGCTATGATGATGCTGCTGTCATGATATAGTATCTAATGGTGTGTTAGATTGGTGAGGCTGATGTGGATGTAAGTGTGTCAGATGAGGAGACAGCAGAGAGAATCTGTGACAGACAACAAGAAGGAGCTCCACTAGAGAAAGATGCCGTGAAGGTGAGAACCTTTATACATCACTATCATCATCCCCAAACATGAACATGCAACCGTGACCTGTTTAGAGTTTGTGAAATGCAATGTTCAGTACATTTGACAATGTATTTTAACTTCTAAATTCTTTTCATTTCCCAATTCAGTTGTTTTCTTTTTAATATCTTTTTTTGTAGAATGAGAAGTCAAACAAAAAAAAGAAAAAAAAGAAGAAAAAGACTCCAGCTGAGAATGGAAGGGTGAGAATTTTATTTATTTCTGTATGTTATGTTTATGTATGTATGTATTTATTTACCAAAACATTTGAAAGATTTTTTTTTCAAAATTACTTTTAACATTTATTTTTAGTTTTAATAATTAAGAATTTTATGCTTCACTTCACTTACATTACCACTTGGTTCAGTGGTAAATACACATGCTTTTGACATGTTGAGCTGCAGCATTATCACAGGATGTGAATTTAAATCTAGTCTTTCTCTCTCTCCCTATGTGCTTTCCTGTTGCTCTCCACTGTGTTATTAAACAAAGAAAAAAATGCCCATTCGAAAAGTAAAAAAGCAGATGGATAACTGGATAAGGTTTCTGTTACGAAGCAGAACATATGATTGGATCTGCTGAAGCTCATCAATGTTAATGTTCTTCATTCTTTTTTGATATTTAAGCTATTAATTACCGCATTTACTGATGGAAATGTGGACTTAAGGTGACAGTGACCATAGACATAAATTGATGCCTTATTGGGCGATTTGGCCCATTGCTGCGATACTTCAATGCTTCTGCTGTATTGGAGAGGACAAGGCTGCCCTATAAACAAATACAAGTAAACAGGGTAGCTGTTTTTTTTTTTTTTTCTGGACCAAAAAAATTACAGTAGAAATGTGTAATGTAAAGTAAGGTTTTTAATATTTTTTAAAGAATTTTCTTCTGCTCACTAAGCCTGCATTTATTTGATCTAAAATACAGCAAAAGCAGTAATATTGTGAAATTTTTATTATTTAAAATAACTGCTTTCTATTTGAATATATTTTAAAATGTAATTTATTCCTGTGATTTCAATGCTGAGTTTTTAGCATCATTACTCCAGTCTTCAGTGTCACATGATACTTCAGAAATCATTCTAATATTCTGATTTGCTGGTCAAAAAACATTTTTTATTATTATTATTATTATTATTATAATGTTGAAAACAGCGGAGTAGAATTTTTCTTTGATGAATAGAAAGTTCAGAAGAACGTCTTTAACATCACTTTTGATCAATTTAAAGCATCATTGCTAAATAAAAGTATTAATTTCTATTTCTATTCTATTAATCCCCCCCCCAAAGTATATGTATATATACAGTGGTGTGAAAAAGTGTTGGCCCCCTTCCTGATTTATTTATTTTTTTTGCATGTTTGTCACACGTTAATGTTTCAGATCATCAAACAAATTTAAATATTAGTAAAAGATAACACAAGTGAACACAACATGCAGTTTTTAAATGAAGGTTTTTATTATTAAGGGAAAACAAAATCCAAAACTACATGGCCCTGTGTGAAAAAGTGTTTGCCCCCTAAACCTAATAACTGGTTGGGCCACCCTTAGCAGCAACAACTGCAATCAAGCGTTTGCGATAACTTGCAATGAGTCTGTTACAGCGCTGTGGAGAAATCAGGAAGAGGGCCAACACTTTTTCACACCACTGTATATACTGACTCCAAGCTTTTGAATGTTAGAGTGTATAATGTTAAAAGCTTTTTATTTCAGATAAATGATGATCTTTGGATCTTTCTACAAAAGCTTTTGACTTGTAGTGTACAGTACAGCAGTCTAACATATTATGAATATCCTATAAATAAGGTGTAGTATAAAATATTATTATAGTAATATAATAACAATAAATAAAAACAACAACAATAATAATAATCCGCTACATAGTATGTACATCAATCAGTCATCTATAACTGCTTATCCTCTGTGGGATCCAGAGTATGTGAGCGGAGTGGAGCGGCAACAATTTCCCCTCCGCGCTCCAAGCATTCAATAATCACTCCGCTCCAGCTCCACTCCGGGTTCACCATTTGCCGCTACCGCTCCACTCCTCGCTCCACTGATCAGAAACACCGCTCCGCCTTCGCTCCGTGCTAAATTATTTCACTATGCTTCAAGAGGGTCTAGCTGTTGTTGTTGTTGTAAAATGTTGAGAGATTCAAACAAAAAGTAATAAAAAATAGAACAAAATAAAAGACTGCAAGTGACGTTGCTAGCGGAAGCGCAAGTGCCTGAGAGTGCAAGTCTGAGAGTGCAAGTGCGAGGCTGCAGCCAGACCCTTCTCCTATGCTTGAAAAATCTAAGTTCTGTTCAGAAATTATATTAAACGAGAAATAAATGGATAATACTAGAAGAATAGTTTTAACATGGTTTATTGGAACACTACAATTAGCCCACGTCCATATTAAATGACTTATAACTTGCTTAGCTTACTTGTCTGTGCAACGTCTCTCTACTATGGCGAAGCTGAGGGTAGTTACTTCAGAAACAGAAAGAATATGCTGTAACTTTTCCGTTTTTACGCTGATAAATCACAGGACAGCGTTGACCAAATTTTCTTCATTCCTAAATGTATGCGCACGATCTGTACATTGTGCGAGCTTGTGTGTTCTGTCCGTGTGCAGCAATGTAGCAGCATATTAGTTTCGAGCGGAGATTAACAAACTGTACAATTTACAACATGCTTTAACATCCCGCACTCGTCAATCGCCATTTTAACCTTCATATGTGATCCACATATCTGTCAAGCTAACTAATTATGTTTAATGCATGAGTTTGGCATAATTTGTGCTCGTGACGGAGTTGGTAGCAGAGTGAGTGAAAACCTCAACGCTCCGACTTTCAAAAAATCCGCTCCAGGCAAAATCACGCCGCTCCGCTCACATACTCTGGTGGGATCACAAGGGAATAGAGACGATTCCATGAAAATTATTCATGAAAATTCTTAGTACAGAGAGTTGCTCATAGTAAGAAAATTCTTAGAAAAGTAGGTGTTTCACCTTAAATTTAAAGAGAAGATCCTAGTAAAGGTAAAAGTTATTCAAAAAGCATCTTAACCCTTAAAAGAGCTCTTAAGGTCAAAAAGAGTTAGGAGTAGGACTTTTAAGATGCTTAAGAGTTTTTTAGCGGAGGAGAAAATGGCCAAAATATGAACAGGGAGAAGAAATACTGCATACAATGAATGACAGTGAGTTAATAAAATGCTAGATTAGATTGAGCTGTGATCATGTTTGTGACTGATATTATTAGTAGGTCTGTTTATCATGTGTCTAAAATTCACTTATCATGTGGTTTGTTATTGTTAGGACGATTTGAGTGTGGGAGATGATATTGATGCTTTGTTAGAGACCCTGGAGAAGAAAAAAGGCCCATCATACCAGAGCGCAAACAACAGTGCCTCTGAACACAGACCTGTACTGTACGTGGAACACAGGTGAGGTGCATGTGTGATATAATTCTGTGTCATTCAAATGTAGTAAATGTAAAAGACAAATATTGCTAACACTTTAGGGAACACCATTTACTATTAATTAGTTGCTTATATTAGCATGCATATTACTAGCAAATTGTCTGTTTATTAGCACACATAAAGCACATATTAATGCCTTATTCTGCATGACCATATTCTAGATCCCTTATGCCTACCACACACCTAACTACAGTACTACAACAGCTATCTTACTATCAATAAGCAGCAAATCAGGAGTTTATTGAGAGAAAACTCTTAGTTAATAGTGAATGTGTTCTCTAATCTAAATGTAATCTCAAATGATCTATTTTTCTTCTGGGTCATAAAGGAATCTGAATCCAGAGACCGAGCTGAAGAGGTATTTTGGAGCTCGCGCTGTTCTGGGAGACCAGAGGTAATTTCTTAGTATTATTTTCAGTTTTACGGTTTTTACTTTCTGGTAATTTTCCTTAAATACATTTTATCCAAAAGTTGGCGAGTTGTATAATTTGTATACAGTATGTGGCTTGAACAACCAGATCCATTTGCACTTGGCCGAGTCACGTCTTCGATGTTTCTTGAACCATATCCTGAAGTGGTTTGAAATATCAGATTGCAGTATGTCTTGAATGTGTTATGGAAGACAATTACACCTGTTTTTTTCATTCTGAGATGGTTATCAAGTTAATGAAAGCACATGAATTGACCAAGTGTAGAAAATCGTTCGCCATTCTGCTGATGTCTGCATAATTGCTATCCTCTTGTTAAGTGTAACATTGTGTGTGTTACTGTTTCCGGGTCCAAATGCTATATCTGATGCCAAAATCATATAGCAAACAGTATTAATATACACTCACATTAGACAGTCATTTGTATAATAACTTTAATTTATAAATCATTAATATTATATAATGTTTAACAGATCATTAGTCAATATATATTCAATAACTACAAATTTGAGATAATGTGCTTGTAAATGTTTACTAATGATCTTATTGAACATTAAATAATGATTAACATAACATTATTTAATGTAAATTAAAATGTTTACAAATGTTATTAAACTTTTAATTTATATATGATCATGCACTTTTAACAGTCTGCAAATTGTTATACACTGATTAATTTATTAATATGCATTTGAATGCTTAGAAATCTGATTAAAATGATTTATACATCTGATGCACTTTTTTTTTACATTTACAAATGTTGTAAAAAATTTTCATAATTTTACACACTCACTATTTATGTCGACATATGATTCATTCATTCATAACCAGTCTGTAAACGTGACACATTTGCATTTTTTTGTGGTGTGTATGACTTCTACTACTTGCACAATTGGACTTTTAGCTGCTGTGACAAAGTCTGAGTAAAAGGTGATTAGTTAAGAGAATTAACATTCTTGCTAAAGACATAAACATAACAGCAACACATAGCAACAAGAACAGTTAAGAGAAAAGCTGTGCTTTTATTGACTCAATTACAGATTTACGATAAAATATTAGATTACACTTCGATAGTCCACTTTAGACATTCTACTGACTATAAGTAACATTGCAGTGTCAAATAACTCATTAATTTGTAACTACATATCAATAAACTGTCAGAATATTAGTAGACTGTTGGGTTATGGTTAGGGTTATTAGAGTAAGTAGTTATAAGTTAGTAGTTACAAGTATACTTATAATTTAGTAGAACATTATATAATGTTTGTTAATTATGAAATGAACTAGTTGAATATATATTAACTAATGATCTGTTAAACTGTATATAATGTTTAATGATTTATTAAGTAAAGTTATAAAGTGTTACCATTCCTTACGTCACGACTTAACAAGTGGATATCAACCAAACACCAGATATTGACCACACTGTCTAAACAAATGGATCTAATTTCATCACTTAATGATTGATAGTGTGTAAGTCCCAAAGATAATTATTGAAAAACAAATGGGAGTTGTGTTCTGTGAATAAAGCCTGAGAATTGCAATTCTGAATGCTTTCTTGTGTTTGTTTGTGTCCATATTAAGATCAAAACAAAGACAGAGGCAGTTTCATCGGTGTACTTGGATGACTGTTTTCAAAGAAACATGGCCCCGCTTCAGTCGACCAGGTCAGACCTGACCCTGTTTCATATTTTCCTAGAACGTTTGTTCAGTGCTCAGAAATATCACCCAGAGCTGCTACTGTATCAGTTTGTAGGATTTGGGCAGAGCTGACCTGTGGGTTTGTGGGGCCCCAGGCAAAATCATAAAAATGGGCTCTACCAATATGGACATGATATGCCAAATTTTTCATTTTGTCAGTGGAGAACGTGTAATGTTTGTCCGGCAGTAGCTGTTCTAAAATGATTACATGTATATCTCCCAGCAGGGCCCCCCAGGCACGCTAGGGCTAGGGATGTAACGGTATGAAAATTTCTTATCACGATTATAGTGACCAAAATGATCACGGTTATCAGTATTATCACGGTATTGTTAAAATATGCTGGAAATGTTCAAAAAGTACTGACACACAAATCATTTCACCAAGTTTTACATTTAAAATCAACAAACAACAAATAAAATGAGTTTTTGTTTGCATAACTAAAACAATAACATTGCCAATGATGTCCGGATTTTAAATGACAACATGACTGACAACAGTTTGTCTAATATCATGTTCAAATATCTAATGTAAATGTTCAAATAAAGCTTTGAAAAAGTTTCATAAATGGTAAACCTCACATTTCAGCTTTTAAATAAAGAAAAGGGTCAAGTCAAAACGATAATTGATTAATAAATGATTATATGTATTTTATCTGCTTCCTAAATAATACTAGATACCTTATTGTTTAAATGTGTAGAATAAGCTTGTTTTTCATCAACCGGTCAAAATTTACAGCAGGGCATGCAAATTCGGTCCATTTTTTGGCCCAGGCAAAAACTGCACCCAGGCTGAATGTAAATGTAACTCTCTTGTAAATCCACATGATTTGGTCGCAATATTTTTATTTTTATTTTTTGGGATTAATCAATGAATGCTGATGAACTTTTATCATAGTTTATAGTTATATGAAAACGAAAGTGGTTAATATTCAACCCCTTCTTTTCATCAGTATTATTTGTGATTTAAATTTTGTGAATGGGAGTTCCTCTTTTGCTATGTTATAAGCCAATAAAACAGTAAGATACAATGACAAACTACCTTATAAAACGTTTATTAACAAAAACAAATAAGAAGAGTCATGGCATACACCACATGCTGTATTATATACAGACTAATAACTTACAGAACGTTTAGCAAACACTTGAGGAAACAAATAAATAAAAAAGAGAGCCTCCATAGCATAACGTGAGATAAACAGCAAAGATAACAAGCTTTTCAAAATGAAAACAAAAAGAAAAGTAAAACTAAACTTGCTGTTGGTGACCGTGTTGCATTTTTTTTTTTTCCCCCACAAGAATACCAACATGTTCACCTTTGGTTTAAGAAGCGGTCTTTTACTTTACTTTAGCATGAAACCCATCTATTGTTTCCTCAATATTTGCGTCATTTTTGCTGCACGCAGCTTCGCGCTCCTGCTGACGCGGCAAGTATAAACCAGGCTCTACACTCGAAACGCTGCGCAGTTCAAACGAGTAGCACAGTTTCATTATGCTTTCAGGTTAGTTTGCCTTTTGATGTTTCTCATATGCAACAAAAATGCAGCGCTTATGAGTTAAACAATGCGGTGGTCGCGTCAGTGCGACCACACACAAAATTTAGTCGCACCGGCAGAAAAAATTATCGACCTGTACTGCACAGGGCTCTCACACTGGAGCCCTGTGCAGTACAGTATTTATTTACCCTCAGTTGTTCAAATCGCGGTAATCGAATGCGGTTATAGTGATGATTAAAATATTAAACGGTAATACTATCCGTGGGGTATTTTATCACGATTTATCGTCAAACCGGTAATCGTTACATCCCTAGTTAGGGCTCTAGATGATCACCTGTATCACTTATAGGATGGGCTGGTGATGGATTTGGGGATGATTCACAGTAAAACACAGAAATGTTCTGTCATATGATAGGCTCACAGGGGGGTTTGTGGGACCCGTTTCAATCGCATGTCACGGGCTGTCCAGTATAAAGCGCATGACGAAGGGGTAGAGTTCAAGAAAGTAATTTTATTAAATCCACAGGGAGAACAGAACAACCACATGGGCGCAAAACAATAGCAGACCCTGAACTGAGGAAGACACAGGGTTTAAATACATGGGGAAGGTAATCAGGAAAAACTGAAACCGGTGTGGAGCAATTGGTAACTAAGGAAACAAACTAGTGGAGGGAAAACTACGACAAAGGAAACAGATCTAAATATACACGTCACAGCGCGAGAACTTGGATTAATAGTGTCTTTGAAATGATACTGTTATTTAGAGAACTCATGTCGCCACTAATCTTGGAGTAAGTGTGGAATGAATGACCCTGGGCCCAGGATGTGGTTTCAAAGACTATATTAATGTGGACATCGCGGACAGTCTGTTGAGTGTTTGAGATGATTACAACAAAGGCTGATATTTCATGGATCCCTATATGTACGCGTGACCATGTAGAGACAGAAATGACATGCCGTCGTGTAAATAAGAAAAATAACATAAGGCTATTTAGTTTGTTTAATAAAAGAACAAGGTATAGACCTGTTCTATAGGAAAGGTAACCTTAAATGACTTATGTTGTGATCTGGCACTATATATAAAATAAAATAAAATAAAATTAACTTTACCTTCAAGGGGCGCCCACCTAATATAATGGCAGGGGAAACACTGATGTTGACATGTTAATGCATGTAATGTTATTACTCGTTTCTTTGAATATTCTGGTGTTTTGAGGCACAAAGTATGCTTAAAATTTCATGAATTTCAACACACATCAGAGCTGTCTGCCATTATGGCCTGGGTATACTTCATTTTCCATCCTGCTCCGTCTACCACACAGTTGAGCACACAAGCCCTTCAGAGTATACTCTGTTGACTGAGTTTAGATGGACTTGTTTGGCGCATGTGCTTTAACCCTCTGGGGTCCGAGGGTGTTTTGGGCCCTGGAGAAGTTTTGACATGTCCTGACATTTGTGCTTTTTTCAGTTGCTAATAAACATTTTAATGGCTAAGTTTAGTAGCACCATAATCAGCACAAACTGGGCTACAATGATATGTGGGCAGCATGTATGTATGTGATTGTGTTTTTGAGAAAACAATGTTTATGCGTGCTTAGTGAAAAACTAAAATTTTAAAGTCACTGAAATAAGGCCATAAAACACATACAGAACATTTGTTCACAAGACGTTTGAGAACTGATCTTGAAGTCTAGAGTTCAAGAAAGAATGAGGAAAAAGAAATGAATCTATTTTTTGTTTGTAGTTCATTTAGAATATACAGTGGGTACGGAAAGTATTCAGACCCCCTTCAATATATTAACTAGTGATCTATCATAACACACACACACAAAACGGTATACAATTCAAAAGATGGTATAGAAGAAAAGTAATGGTATACACAATGTCCTGAGGAGATGCGTGTTCATTCACAGAAAGGTTTTCCTATGAATTAATTAGAGAAGAGCCCATTTTTATGGGCAATGTGTGTCTTTCCTAAGGGTAAATTAATTGAGTTGTGCTCTGCCCGCATTCCTCTGGGCAATAAAACCAGTGATATCAGCATTGGTTGCCATGGAGCCAGAGGCCTGTTCTGCCTTTCTGAGGTGTTTGATGCATTTCGGGGGAAGGGTCCATAGATCCTCATAGTTGGTTTGTTGACTGAGGGGTGTTACAGAGTATTTGTTAAATATAATAAAAAAAAATTGTGTGTCTGATTGGTCCAGATGCTACAAGTCTACAAAACAAGACCTTCTCCACTTATACAGGGATTTATTTATTTTTTGTATGCAGACATCAGTAACAGATGTGTTAACTATGTATGATGACACTCTGTTTCTCTTTTTTTTCAGGTTCTCCTGCAACTTAACCCATATCACATTGATTCACTTTTGCAGTTGTCAGATGTATGTCGCATACAAGAAGATCAAGAGACTGCCAGGGATCTCATCGGTGAGGAAGTTCACTGATGCGCTGAATATGAGACCAGTGATGTGTGTGAGACAGTATTTTACTGAAAAGCCTGCAGGGCTCTATGCTTTGTTTAGTAGCAGTTGTACTCCTAATTTAAAATGATATTTAAGAGCACAGGCAAAAAATTAGTAGCACAGTTTAAGTCTAGTTTTTTTTTTTTTTAATAGTAATGTTATGTACCCCAAAATATCATTCAGAAGTAAACATAAGAAAACAAATCTTATCAATTATGATAGAATTCAAGAACATGGTGTGAGTCATAACAAAGGAGTTTACCTTCTGATAAACCAAATGTAATATTTTAAGTTAATTTAAAAGGTTGAAAAAAAAAACACTGTTTTACCTTGTAAACAAATGTTTAAAAACTCTGAAGTGTATTCCTTGTGTGTCTGATTGGTCCAGACACTACATTGTGCAGCCCTAATTTAATTACAGATATTAAATGACCTGTGTGTTTTTTTTATTCTATGTTAACAAAGTAGTGTTAATATATTTGAGTATTATGTTGTGAGCAGTTGTGAATTGCAGTGTGCATTTGTGAGAATCTTTGGTATGTTAACTCCATTAAAGCGAAATAAAGGTCACTGTCATTGCTTCTTTTAGGTATCTCCATGAGTCTAGTGGAGTCTAAAGACGGCATTCAGCGCTTCACCTTTGAACATAATCGTGACTATCAGCAAGTCCAGTTCAAGTTTCTCGATGCGGTTGAGTCAATGGACCCCAATAACTTTGTGGTAATTTTATTGTTGTTAACCACAAACTATTTGATTATGTGTGTGAGACAGTATTTTACTGAAAAGCCTGCAGGGCTCTATGCTTTGTTTAGTAGCAGTTGTACTCCTAATTTAAAATGATATTTAAGAGCACAGGCAAAAAATTAGTAGCACAGTTTAAGTCTAGTTTTTTTTTTTTTTAATAGTAATGTTATGTACCACAAAATATCATTCAGAAGTAAACATAAGAAAACAAATCTTATCAATTATGATAGAATTCAAGAACATGGTGTGAGTCATAACAAAGGAGTTTACCTTCTGATAAACCAAATGTAATATTTTAAGTTAATTTAAAAGGTTGAAAAAAAAAACACTGTTTTACCTTGTAAACAAATGTTTAAAAACTCTGAAGTGTATTCCATGGTCACACACAGCTTTTTTTTTTGTGCTTGCTTGGTTGAGTGAAGGCATGAAAAGCAGCCAGTCACAGTGTGAAATGTAACTGATTTTCATTATTTAATTTAAAAACAGGTATTTAACATTACTGCAACTTAGGGCTGAACAGTTTGGTGAAACAAATCTAATTACAATTTTTCTGATAAAATTGGTGTTTCCAAATCAATTCATGAATTAATAAAAAACTTGAGTTGTCTAAGGCCACATTCACACTGTAATATTTATATAAACCTTTCAATATGACTATACAATAATAATAATAATAATAATAATAATTGTATTATTATTATTATTATTATTTTAATTAATAAAATTAAACACATTAATAACAAATACTAGTTGTATATTCTATATTTTACAACAGTAAAATTACAATATTAATATTTATGGTTGTCTTAATTCCTGTGCTATAGAGATATACTGTAGATAAGTACTAGTGCTGGGCGGTATACCGGTTCATACCGGTGTTTATTTTTGTTATGATATGAATTTTTTAAATACCGCAATACCGGTATGTCGCT